TACGTTGGCTGTGCTAAGAGGTAAATTAATTATGGTATTACTTGTATTGTGTAGCAAATTCACTTAATTCTTCAATAAGTCCCAGAGGACATTTATTCTTAATTATTCTTGTATACTTTGTTTAATAATTTTGTTTAGTTTTCCACTTAAGAAACTTAATAAAATTTAAGATATATACATTGGATAACAAATGTATGTTTTATTTAAGTATTACTCATGATCATCACCAGTTCAACACGAGGCTAATGCAGTCCTTATAAATCACAACGCAATGCTAAATAGTTAGGTTAGATTTTAGGTAAATTTAATTTGCGTGAGGTATTATCTTAAAAGGCACCTTAACACTTGAAAACACAAATATAATTATAATAGTTGTAGTTTTCTCCACTGAAGATTGAGATTAGAATCTTCCCAATCTGGAATAAAAAAAGGCTCTTTTTGCAGACATTTTGCAGCTAAACGAAAGAAATCTATTTTAATAAACTGAGGTATTTTATATTTATTTCGCAGCATACATAAGGAAAAAATATGTGCATTAAATTTCGTGACGGTATGTCATCATACTGCTATAATTAATTTCAAGAATATGCCAGAGAAAATTTCCTGAAATTTGGAAATATTATTTACTAATAAAAAATAAATTTAGAGGGAAGAAGCAACATTAAATTATATGAATAACATAAAAATAAAGATAATTACTTGAAAATTGAATTAGAATAATCAATGATATTTTAGCGAATATAGTTATATTACATGGCTAGCCTAGATGACTGATTACTATTTTTTTATTTTACTGCAAAATGGCAAGGTATTTATTAAAAAGAAAAAAAAAAAAAAAAAAAAAGGTTTAAAAAGATTTTGCCGTGAAATTCTAATATACGGTAAGGCTTTGGCACGATTTTGAAAATTATTGCCAAGATCAAAATGACCCGTTTACTGCGCATCATGATGTCGCCAAATCCCATTATTATTCTAACCAAAGAACGTCTATGTAAAGAAGAAAAGATTCCATACAAGTAAAATGCTATTACGCCGCTAGAATGCGGAGGGAAAATTTGCCAATGGATTTGGCGACGGAACCTGGCGGCCAGAATTTCCCTCTCCGCGATGTGGAGACAGGAAATTGAGAAACACGTGTTAAGAAGAAACTCTCTTTGACAAAAAGAAAACTACGAAAATCTGTTTTTAAATTATTGTAAAAAACACAAGAAGAAACGTTTTATCAAAGGACGTTTCTTCTTGGATTTTCGCAATAATTTTAAAAACGGATTTTCGTAGCTTTTTTTTTCCCCCTGAAAATAACTTAATCCATGAATTAATTTACTGGTGCCAAAAAAATATTTTCTTTTCCTTTAGAGTTTAACCACTTGCGCTAAGACTAAACTTCACGGTTGCGGTGCCGTGCACTACAATATAACAAGCGGTAAAGTGTCTCATTTACGCCGCTCTGCATATGCGAGTGCAATCCAGAGCTGTAACTCGAGAAATAAACAATCTCGTTGTTAGGCGACGTGTGCACCACGTTATTTTCATTTTTGCGATAAATGCTTATCAACGTGGTGTTCACGTCGCTTGCGGGTTGAGACAAAAGCATCTCTACGTGCGTGGCACATCTTTTTAGGGCAAATGGTTAAAGAAATTTTAAACGATATTCATTTTATGAACTATTGATAATGTGACCTTCGAACTTCGACACTGGTTTCGAGCTTTGGTGACAGATATATCAGACATGCACAGCTGTTTCCCTCTATGATGGAACGGAGCCACATCTGTTGCAGAGAGGTTTTCCTTCTTTACAATACATATTCTTTGATTCTAACCTCCATGGTACCGTATACTAGGATTAAACCCAACTTGTTTTATACGAGAACAGGTACTTTCTTTAGTTCATGCACTGCACATGCGATTCTCGAGAATACTGGAAACCAAAAGTTGCGGGAAAGTTGCTTTGCCTTTCTAAAAGACAATCAAATTGGAGCTGCGAAAATTGGCTCTATGCCAGCTATCCGAATGACACTCACGTGATACATAATTTGCCAAAAAAGTTATCTCTTCCGAAGTCGGCGCAAAAATCGCTTTTTTTGGCGGGATCGTTGTATGAACTTCCCTGACTTTTCCAGATTTTGACAAAAATACTTAAATTCCCTGACTTTTCCCTGAATATTTTGGTCAATTTTCGAATTCCCTGACTTTTCCCGGTTCTCCTGGTTTTCCAGGTAGCGTGGCAACCCTGGGCTGGTGCACCATCATGATGGAACCACACGCGATCACGAACGACAGCCGGAACATACAGAAGCCATTCCGGTAGCAGCTCTTGCAGAAAAATATGATAATACAAGCCATTTGTACATGCAGGTAAGAGGTATGGGCCTATGAGGTAGTCGTTAACTATACCCGCCCACACATTTACGGAGAAGCAGGTTTGGAATGCATGTGGACATGTGCCGTTAGAATTATGAGTTGCCCACACGTGCATGTTGTGGCTATTGAAGATGCCATCCTGTCAGAAAGTTACCTCGTCCGTGAATAGCACATTCGATGGGAAATCCGCCGGCGCCACACATTGCTGCAAGAACCAATGACAGAAATGAACTCAAACAGGGTAATCTGTCTCTTGCAAGGCTTGGACTCTGCAAATGGTATGTATACAAACCATTTTCATGCAATACTCTCCAAACGGTGGAATGACTCAGCTTTTCATGACGTGCAATAGCTTTTGTACTTGTCTGAGGAGATTCATGCACAATGTTCAAGATGGATTCTTTAATGCGAGGTTGTCGTGCACTTCTTCCACTCCTAGTGTCAGAGGTGGCTTCAAATGACCCGTTTTCACACAGAGACCAATGCAACCTCTCGAACATTGTGTGCTTTGGCATACGCCTGTTCGGAAACCGTTCCTGGTACAACTGTAGCGCTGCTCTGCCGTTCGTTCCCATTAGCAGCACCATACATGAGATGAATGTCAGCTTTTTCCCTGTGCATAAACTCGCCAATCACGCTTGACATCACAGTTGCGAACAATCCTCTGATGCATCGGATCGTGGTTTGTCTGGCTCACTACCGCTGCATTGCCAGCCAATCACTGCTGTAGTTCCTATTACTGTTAGTGTTCCCTTTTTTGAACATTTATTGTGAATACTGTATTGCTGCAAAGAAGCACTTTGCATTGATTTTGTATATAAACACATTTTCCTCTCGTGTTTTTTTTTTTTTTTTTTTTTTTTCCCTTCCTGCCTTAACACGTCACTTTAGAACCTACATTCCTATACAAAAAGTGCATGTTTTAGTACACTCCACCACCCCTCCAAGTTTGTCCCATGATCTATGAAACACCCTGTACACAATTTAAAATTATATCAATTACGACAAAATTAAGAGAAGAATTACAAGCCTGGGGTGCTCAATTTAATATGGTTCTGAATTCTCCAATTCCAAAAACCATTTTAATTAAAATGTAATCAAAACAAATCAATTCTGCCTTTAACATATGAGCCATATAAGTGCTTGCAAAGTATGTTTCACATCCGATGGTATTAAATGAAACAGGCTTTAGGAAAGTGTAATGGCTTATGCCCAGGATGTGAAAATGTTCTTGTAAATATCTGGGATGGTATACACTGTTTTCATTTATTTACTTTACAGCATTTTACTCTGTAACTTCGATTATTGTGCTGTAGAATCACTAGATTATTTTGAAACAGGAGACATGAAAAGTTAGCAATGCCCTTGCTGGGACTCGAACGTGGATCTTTCGACTATGTGTCAAGTGTGCTACCGTTACACCATGAAGGCATGCTGGAAGGAGGGACAAAATACCTTACATACTCCCCTTTTTAAAGGGTGACTTGGGATTAGGGGGCTCAATTCGCAAATCCTTGTAGTGACAAATTATTGTCCACCACCTTTTACTTGGGGTGCCACTATAGTCATTAAGGTTTCTTGAAGCAGGTGACATGAAAAATCAACAATGCTCTCGCCAGGATTCAAACCTGGACCTCTCGGATACATGCCGTTACACCACAAAGGCATGATGGAAGGAGAGAGAAAATACCTTAAAGTGCATTTTATTTAATTCTGAATTTGTGACAAATTATTGTGCTAGGCAAATTTATTTTAAATATCATTTTGTGCAGCTTTTAATTCAGAAACAATTCTAATAGAACTGGTGATGTAGGCAGAAACAACCTACTTGTCTCAGCAACAATTTCTGTTGACAAGACCAATACAAATTGGTATCATTTGGCCATTTTTTGCCTCCAGGTGACATTTTCAGAGTCCCCCAAAAAAACTTTCTGAAGGTCTAAGAGTGATATTTCTCTAAGGTTTCAGAAATGTTTACCCTTCTCCTTGAGTAATGGTATATGTACATAGCAGTGAGCAGCCATGGACTAGCAACATTATTTGACATGAGTCTGTTCATACTGTTAAACTTCCTACTCTGGGTTTTACAGCTTCTGATATTGTTTTATGAGTCATTTTTGCAATATGAGGTAAACCTTGCATTTTAAGGAGGATTTTGATTTGAGTACTCCTTGAGCTATGTATACCTGTTTCTATAAACTGTTACTCATCTCAAGTTCATTTGACTTCTATGAACTGTAGCGCACCCAATACTGTCTTTTGACATGGTGTGGTGTGTGTATTTAATTATGGCAAAGCACGCTAGGGCTATCTGCCTATGGGGAGGGATGCCTTCATGGAGGATGGGAGACTTTAACAAGTACAATGAAAATGTTAGTCATATGTTATTGGTATGGACAACCATAAATAAAATTATACTTCTCATGAAGATTATTAAAAAGCATATAGAATCACTCAGAAATAATTAAAAATTTAATTAACTTAAAATGCATTCAATATTCTCACACTATACAATGAAATCATTACACAAAACATGATGCTAAAGTCCTTGACAGCAGTAATATTTCAGTTAAAGGTTTAAGAAAACATAATAATCACATGACATAAGGAAATATTTTTATTGAAACAAACTTCACTACCTTCAGAACAGCTATAACTATTTCTCTTGCTTGTAATTCGCCTTCTAAAACTCCTAAGAGCTGAAGGAGGTCTGGTTTACTAAGCTCCATCTTTGGATGCCTCTATTTAAAGATGAAATACAGAAATACATTAATATCTATATTAAAAAATACAAGCACTACAGAAGATGCAATTACCTTAAAGCAATACATTAGTGTCCCCTTACCTGCAGGTAATCTGCTCAAAGACATAACTGCAGCTGAGTGACATAATGAATATTGATTAACCAGGCACAGTCTAAAACGTTATGTTTATGTATTGAAGAATGATGGAGAAATAACAATGAAATTAAAACAAAACCGTCTATAGAAAATACAAAAAAGGAAAGGGAAAATGTGTGGATAACTGCAATGCCAGCAGATGATGTCTGTTAGATGACTGCCCTCAAAAAAAGTTCCAATTGACTCTTTTACACAAGCTTGAACTTAAGAATATTGTTCAAATTCTCTTGCAGACAGTGTTTCTTAATTTCTAATTAAGCTTCCTTTGTGTTTTCAAAACTGATTTAATTAGGATTACCAAACGAACTTATTCTCCACATAAGACTGCTTGAAAATACAGGTAGATAGTTAATATTTATCTGTTAATAATAACCATACATTTATCCTTCCTTCTGTATTTTTTAACTGCCGTCAAATAAACAGCAATTTTGATTTAACTGTGCATGTCCCTAGTGTTATCCCAATTAATCAGGAATTTATTGTGACTACTGCAAGCAAAGCATGGATAATATTAACTGTTGCAAGTAATGTGATATTCAATGTAACATTGATAAAAACAGTGAAATTGATAGGTAGCTTAAAATAAACCAATGCTTTGCATGAAATAAATAAATTATAAAATATATTATACACTGCATTAAATTTACTTTCTCTGTCATACAAAGTGTGCTTTAAAAAACTACACTCAAGTACAAAAAGTTTACATTCAGTATCTTTTGAGGGGGAAAAAAATCTGATGGCTGGATAGTTTGAAAGGGTTACAAATTCAACCAACACTTTCACTTATAATCTATTATTACAGCAGTATAGCACATACTATAAAAATATAAAGAGAAATGTGTTTCTACTGTTTTTTTAGTTTGGCCTGAATAATGTAGACTTCCGTTCAAAAATAAATCACAATGGCATTTTGCAAAGCAGGCAGTTGATATTTCTTTACTTGCTCATGGGTTTGAAATTCAGATGAAAAAGCAATGTTCCACATTTTTTAAACTAAACCAAGATTATGTTTACTTTAAAACTATCACTTATCAGATAGAAAATTGCAATGTTCAATAAAATTGGAGAATGGAATTTCTCAAAAAAAGAATTTTTCTCTAAAAGAATTTTCTATGATCCCATTGCCAGCATGGCTATCAAGTATTGTGCCTAGTTTGAAAATGTTGGCACAATACTTGATGGCCATGCTGATACTAGTAAATGACTACCATTATTACAAACTGATCAATCATCAGTGCTGTTACAGATGCCATACATAAACAAACAACAATATCTACCCAAGGAACAGTGGTACAAACTGAGAGTATTTCTGAAGCAAGTATCTAATCAGTACTTAACAAGCATTGTAAATCTTACACAGTTCAAACTATACAGCCTTTGTAAGTTGAAACTGTGCAGACTTAATAGAACAATTCAGCTTGTGTCTGGAAAGTATATTATGCCAAACAGTGTATGATTTTTAGATGCAGCTCACTTTTATCCTTGGTAATTTTGTCAATATGCAAAGCTATTGCTTATGGGGATACAAAATATTCAAGGAGCCTGTTCTACATCTTAAGAAAATAAGTTTGTTCATTATACTCGCTTTAATGGAGAGCTTTTTTCTCTGAGGGGGAAAAAAATCACTTCAAAATTTTATCAAAAAATGCTTGAGTAGGAACTTCTTCCTACCACCATTGGACTTGATGCTGTGAACAATTTCTGATTTATATACAAGACGAGGCATGACTTCATTGAACTACTGAGTTCTTCAAACTTTTAAATAAATACTTTGGTAACAGAGTTACTGTCCTTAATTATTCAAGCCTACTTCTTGTGAGAATAGAATAAACTGGCCATCAAATTAACTTGATCTGAATCTCTAATGCTTTTCTCTGAGTAATGCTTCATCAAAATATTAGTTACACCATACCAATCTTGATGCTTTAATGACATCAAAAATGTGATCTCAAAATTGTCTCTCTGCGTTCTCAACCACATGTATGTTATGTGTAATTTTGGAAAACAACTGAGAAAAGTGGTTGAATTCGACGTTTTTCAGATTAAGCATGTTATTTCAAAAACTAATCTTCTACTAAATCAATCATGGAAGTAGAAAAGGAAAAACTTATAGCATATGCTATGTTACATCCAATTTGAAAACAAAAAAACATTTAAGAAACACTGAAATTTTTTACTTCCAGTAAGCTCATTAAGTGATGTAGGAATTCTACGCTTCTAAGTTAATTTTACAATTTTAATGGTTAATATAAAATATTAGATAAGGCACAGCAACAAAATATTCTAGACTGCATTGTATTAACATCTAATTTGAATGCTTTATTAATTATTCTAACCTATTTATCACTAAAAGTAATCCTATACTCTATTACTTCATTAATACACACTGATCAGCCAAAATATTATGACCACCCTTTTAATACCATGCAGATCCACCTCTGACATGTTAAAATGGTGCAACTTGTTGTAGCATCAATTCTACCAGCCCTTAATAACAAGCCTGAAGAACATCATACCAAATTTGCAACCAAAAATGATTCAATTTCCATAACTGTGAGAAGGTTGCCAATGAGCCCTGAATGGAGCCCAATGATAACCCCAGATGTCCTCATATTTATCAAGTTATGAGATCAGGATATGAAATGGAATTTGTCAATATGCTATTTAAACCACTGCAGTACAATTCCATCATTGTGATAAGCAGCACTGCTGTATGAATTCATTTTTGACATGAAAGAGATACCATGAAAGGCTGAAACTGCATAGCAGTTTTGTTCATATAATTCACAGCTATCATATCATAGTGCATTCTTCTATAGCAACTGATCGCAGGGGATGTCCATAAGAATTTCTCCCACAACATAAAATCTTCACCACCTATTTATTTACATCCCATTGTACTTGTATCAATCAACTGTTCACTATACGGTATACCAATAAGACTATTCACGTGATATGTAAATATTATTGTTTAACCAGGCATGCTTTTCTTTCCCACTGCTGCACAGTCAAATTACTGTGCTCATAGCCCATTATAGATATAAAATTCACTGATGCTGGGTTAACAGAGGCACATGAAGTAGGCATCTCCTGTACAATCTCACACTCAATTGAGTATGAAGAACTGTGTGCTCAGATATACTTGCACTGTATTCAGTTGTCACTTGGGCCAACAGCAACTGCTTATTTGCCTTCACCAAAAGAAAGAGTCTTCAATATTTGCATTCATTGATTAAGCATGGATATGCAATACCTCGACTCCTATTGTTAGCATCCTTCTTCATTTTTCCATAGGTAATAACAATGACAGCCAACAAACACCTGGCAAGTAGTGCCATTTTTGGAGTTTTACATTTTTAAACTTTTGGCCACCACAGACTGACTACAATCAAAATCATCTAAATCATTATATCATTATATATACCTTTGTCATTATATTCACATGTAGTTGACAAAATGATGCCTCAATATCAATATCTATGACAGCTGTTAGGTAACATTTTCACATTATTACATGTCATTTTATGTTATTCTAGCAAGAGCATTCTCATACCATAAGGGAGGTTATTACATTTTGGCTGATAAGTGTATAATAAAATCATGACAAAAGGCAATGAGAGAAACCACTTGAATCAACAATAATATATAACAACCATATTATTTCAACAAAAATGTACAAACTACTTTTTAAATTATTACATTAATGTTTCTTCATTGTAACACTAGACATTAAATGATTATTATTAATTATGATGTTAACTTAAGAATGTAACATTTTCAGCATTCATGATAAATGCATAGTATTTAAAACTCGGGAAAGTTAATAAGCTTATAAAAAATTTGGTGCTTCAAGAGGTTACGTAAAACAATATGTTAAAGGAATTCCAGTATATACAAACTACATAATGCTTTATTTTAGATAAATACAAAAAGATATGTGGATTAAAACACATGCCAAGTTCATGAAAGACTTCCTAGGAGAAAAAAATATTGTGTATTTAAGCTATAACTTGGAAAATTCGTACAGCCAACCAGACAATCAGATCTATAGAAAACTGACATTTAGTAATTTTATTCATTTGTCAGGTTCCAAGTTGAACAATGTCTTACTTATGAAGAGTAAGTAGTACAACATAACAGGAAAAATGAGAATTACAGTGTGTCCATAAAAGTCCTTAATGTGACTGTCACTATCACAACTCTTAGGCACAGACATAAACTTTCAATAACAAAATTTTTTAAATGCTAAATATCCATGTCTTGTCATTTTTAAATTTAAAAAAAATCATTCGCATAAATTATGAAATTTAACTTCTCAGCCGGTTTTTTAGTCCCTATACTAATTATTAAGAAATTTTTATACTAATTATTTAAAAAGTTTAATTTATGGCGGAAAAATTATCGCAACATTTAATTTCAAAATTTGGGATTTAATGCCATTTTTTAACTTACCTCGAGGGGTTGGTTAATAAATAAATTAGGATAATTCAAGATCTACTTTTCCCCCTTAAATGCCATTCAATATTATTCCTTTATGATTTGCTACAGTAAAACATTCTTTAATTTGAAATATTATTATAAAAGAATTTTCAGGAAATATTTTATAAGTTTTCAAATGCTAAAAATACCTTATCAACATTCTCATGATATTTTATTATTCAAGAATCATAATCTAATCATCATTAAAAAATTATGAAAATAATATTACAAGTTGGCTATGTGTTACTACAAAAGCCTGCTAGTATTTTCTAGAACATGAATTCTGCAAGATTCTGTGAATAAGACCTCCTTTTTGAAAAATTTACATTGATCACTACTTTTCATGGCAAGACAGCACAGAAATAATAATGACTTAAAGTATCAACATTAGAAACCTTTTCTGAAACTGAATTTTAACTTTAGTTATGTATAAAAGCAAACATTTCACTTTCCAAATTCAACTCGGAGCCTGAATATGATTTCAAAATTTTAAGTTAAATATCTCAGTTAATTTTTTTTTTTTTTTTTTCATACAGCAGCTAAACCTTTTGTATTTTATTTTGTATAAAAAGTATAAAATTTTCCTGAATAAAGGGCCTGGAGACCCTCAAAAAGTTAAATTCAGTAATTTTTACAAGAACTAATTTGATCAATTTTAAAAATTCCAAAATATGAGAACATGCATCATTTGAAACAATTTTGCATTCAGAAGTATATATCTTTGATTAACGTTATGGAATTAAAAACCACAAAAGAACTTTTGTGGACATGAAGTACGTGCAATATAATTTTTTTTTTTTTAAAAAAGGCTGAAATTCATGCTAATCCTTTATATTACCTTCAAAGTGCTGCTAGGCTTTTCTGTTTGTTCAAATGGTCCACTGAGAGTCAAAGGCTGAGATTTTCCAAGATTTCTTGCAGCCATAACTTAAGACTATGTTCCACAGCTGTTTTCATTTGTTCAAGCTATACTTTTATAAACCTAGAAATAACAAAAAAAAAAAAAAGAAAAGAAAAGAGAGGAGAGATTATTTTCAATACAATCCTCTTTGAATATAGTCCACTTGGCTTATAATGAGCATTCAGTTACAGTGAATCTAAATTTTTGGTACTGGCTCATAAACGTAGGAAATAAAATTTCTATTTATAGTGAATCCAAAAATGAAAACTGTTAAGAAGATGTTGAGTCTATATTCCAAAATAAACCCTTCTCATAAAAGCTTAAAAGTTATGCTGAGAACAATATTACAGCTTAGTATGTAATCATTAAGTGCAGTGAAGGGCAGATACAGATGGAAGTGGATGGAAGAGATGGATCAAATGGTATAAGTGCCTTCACCTCACACAGATATAACATTTGTACAGTATACTTTTAATTTCACTACCGAGTTATTTTATGTGAATTTGCTTTGCTGTCTTTCTTGCTTTCCATTTTCTTGCCAGAATGCTAATTTGTAGTTTGTGCATATTTAAATGACATAGAAAGCAATAGTATCTAATAGAATGTTTTAGACGATAGAATCAGAGTCTGTTCTGCCTGAAAGCCTTGTTTGCTACTTGATTCTCTTGAGAGCTTGTTATCTGCAGCATTGTGCTATTCTTGCCATTAGGCTTATCAAGCTGAGATTAGGATTTTAAGACAACTTCTGTGTTTTGAGTCTGAGTAGCCTTTTGGTTAACCTATGATTAACTTAGTTTTAATTTCAATTCTCATACTTTTTGAGTAATGCCATAAATGCAAACTGGTTTTCTATGCACGAACAGTGCCTTCTGTTAATCTTTTATCCGAGTTCAATAAAAGGTTTTTTTACACCTTTTAATGTTTCGTAGTCTTTCAGTTCTCGTAGTTTATGATACTAAAAAGAATGAGACCCTATACAAGAGCCTGAACTTCAGTACGGACCATGTATCAAGAAAATTCGACATTTGGTTTTGCCCCCTCAACTTTGCATGTTCTGCTGGCTTCTGTTAATTCCAAGGCGAGATTTGGATTCATTATGGATATCATAAGAAATGTCATAAAATCCATCAATCAATGGATTTCATGGCAATAGTCGCCATCAATGGAAAGTTTTCAGTAATTAACATTATTGAACAACTGAATTCCTATTTTCTATTACATGCAGTGCCTGAGGCACTAAAAAGTTACTATCACTACTGCTATTCTTAGATACAGGGAGCAATACCTACACATCTGAGTTATTTAAGAACACTCCCTAAAGCGTTCCCCATTACTCAAAAGCTAGGGCTAAGCTCAAGTCAGAACTATTTAGTAAATTTCAGTTTAAAGTTGAAGAATTAGTGGATTTTTATTTTATGGAAAGTTCAAATTTTCAGTTTGTTGTATGACAAGAGGCCTGATGAAGAAATTAATTCAAATTATCTTGCATAGGTTACTGCTGCAAATTCAGAATTATTTTGAACTTCGAAATCCAATGACAATGGAAAATCTATTCAAGTTATAGTCACTAAATTTCAAAATAGATAGGTGGCGGAACAAAGATGCATAACAGGGTATGGCAAGAGGCTAAACAGGCACAATTTTAGGCGAGTGCCTCAGTGAAGGCCAGTCACTAAATTTCAAAATAGATGGGTGGTGGAAAAACCATGCACAACAGGGTATGTCAAGAGACCAAATGGGCACAATTTTAGGCCAGTGCTTCAGCGAAGGCCACCGTTTGGCCAGAAGAGACAGTTTGATGTTCGAAAAGCACATTCAATCATGAGTGGTAGTTGTGAAAATGAAGGGCAACAGAAAAAACGAGGAAAGTAATAGGAAAAATTTAAACTAGGAAGGGGCATTGGAGACAAGAGAGTACAGTTATCCTAGAGGCAAGAAAATCCCTCTAAAATTCAATTTAATACCATTGTAGACAAAAATTCGGCATTGCTAGTAATACAGGGTTATTAAATAATGTCCCTGCAGATGCATTTATTTATCAACACTGGAACTCAACGTAGTTTTCTTTCCGAAATGTTTTTTCTAAAATATTTTAGAAAATATAGACTGTTTAATATAGTGAGAGCAAAAGTTATTGCCACCAAAGGCAAGCAGTGTACATACATAGGCGAGATAGCATTGCATTTACAGGTTAAAAATGAGGAACAAAATGCAGCTAACATATAAGCACAAGGACCAAAATCTTCAAGCTACTGAAATTTTAGGCTTAAGACTTTCTGAATGCAGCAGGTACCAAATTACATTTTTAAGAATTTATTTCACAGCTTGACATGAACAAGCTGGAGGAGAGATGAACGCAGCCACCAGTGATTGAGATAAGTCCTCTGGGTGCAGATGAAAATGAAAAACTGAAAGGTTGGTACGTCAGTTTTATAATTTATCTAATAATTGGCCAGACTCGCACAAACTGTGAACCATAGTACAGATATGGAATATGTGGTCCCTAAGATTAAGGAACAGACAATTGAGGAACGTATTCAAGAACTGTTAAAGCATAAAATTATAATGTCAATAAATTGTCTTTACGCTAGCCCAGTGGTGCTGTGTAAAAAGCAAAATGATCTCCCATTAACTACAAAGCTTGGCATTTCACAGCTGATTATCGAAAACTTAATAGTATCACTAAGCATCCTGTCTATCCTCTTTCTTCTTCATAAGCTCCACAGCCTGTTACAGGACAAGGCTGTCTCTCCAAGTTTCCTCCACCTGACCCATTCAGCACAATAGCTCTCTGTTGGTTAACTCCAATTAACCTTAAATCTTCCTTGACATCATCTATCCATCTAGTGGTGGTCTTCCTTTTTGTCTTACTCCCTCAACTCTCGAAATGGTTATCTTTTTGGTTGGAAATGCATCATCATTTCCAAACACATGGCCTAGCCATCTGATATGAGATGCCTTTATGATTCTCACAATATCAGTTCCACCATATTTCCTACATAGTTCATGATTATTAAAAATCCTCCACATGCCATTTTGTTGTACCAGGTCTATCCCTGCTCTACTAGATGTCTTATTAAGGTTTTATATAAATTTGGTTTTTATGTTGATTAGCTTGGATTTAAGTTGTTTTTAGACAGTATAGTGGTTAGGAAAGGCTGACTGCGATACTGAAGGGCCTGGGTTCAAATCCCGGAGAAGGCATGGTTGTCACTGTCCATCCCTTCATAGGAGACAATGGTGGCACACCTGTTTGGTGCCTCCATAATAAAGAGACCACCACATCTGGCCTTGTATAGATTAATGGACTGGGTTACACTGTAACTGTTCACAATCTGCCATTGGGGGGGGAGTTGTTTTTTAGGGCCGTAGCTATAAATATTCTGTTTTTTCCATTTCAGTTTTTACATCTCTGCAACTTGTGATCAATGTGCCCAGATATTTAAATTGTTTTGTGGTTTCAAAGGCATAAGTTTTTATCTTTAAGGCGGATAAATTAACAATTTTATTAGATGCAATCATAAATTCAGTTTTGTCTTCATTAATGAATAGGCCCATCTTTCTTGCCGCATTTTCAAGCGAGACAAATGCCTCGACCACAGCTTATTTTGATCGCCCGATGATACCAATATCATCGGCAAAAGCCAGCAGTTGAATGGTTCCGGCAAGAATGGTTCCACTTGTGTTTATTCCAGTCTCTTATTGCTTTTTCTAGAGCTATATTACACAACAGGCAATTTAGTGAGTCTCCCCATCTTAATCCTTTCTCAGTATAAAAAAGTTCTGAAAGATATGTTGAAATCTGCATTCTACATATCAGTATTTTAAGGGTCATCCTTGTGAGGGTTATCAGTTTCGTCGGGATATTAAATTCCAACATTGCTTCAAGTAGTTTTTTTCTGTTAATACTGTCATAGGCAGCTTTAAAGTCAACGAACAGGTGGTAGGTGTTAATGTTATATTCTTTAGTTCTTTCCAAGATTTGTCTGATAGAATGCAATTGATCAGTTGCTGTTTTTCCTTTCTAGAATCCACAATGGTAATTCCCAATAACATTAGAAGTATATGTAAGCAATCGTTCATACAAGATAATGAAGAAGTTTTTATATGCCGAATTCAGTAAGATAATTCCTCTGTAATTACAACATTCTAGTACCTTGTCTCCTTTTTTATAAGTAGGACAAACAGTAGGCACTTCTTCCCACTCAGTAGGCATTTGTTCCTGTGTCCATATACAACAAATTAGATAATGGATTGCTTTATTTAAATTCATTTCATCGATATTTAAAAGCTCTGCCTTGATGCCACCCAGTCCAGCTGATTTATTATTACTTAACTTTTTTATTGCCAGTTCAACACGATATAGAGTTGTTGAATTATGCTCTATAATCTCACCTATCTTGTCTATCCCCTTGCTATAATTGTAGAGATTATTCGGAAAATTAAATCAACACGATTCATGACATCATCAGATCTAACATCTGGTTATTTCCAAATTGGCGTGAAGCCTGAAGAGGTCTGAGAAGTTGCATTTATTACAAAGTCTGGCATTTATGCCTTTTAAAAGAATGCCATTTGGTTCATGCAGAGCACCTTCCACTTTTCAACATGCAATCGACATAATCTTAAGACCAGTCCTCAGGAAAAATACTTTGATCTACGTTAATGATATAACAGTGACTAGTGAAACAATCAACGAATATGTTAAAGACTAAAAATAATTTTTGATTCAAAATGAAATGGGACTAAAAGTAAATACCGCCAAGTGCAAATCAGCAGCTAGAGAACTCTGTCACTTAGGAACACAAAATACCAAAGAAAGGGACTGAAAACTCCAAAATAATAGCTATAAAAGATTAACCTCCGCGGAATACTGCAATGAAAGTATCTTTGTTCTTAGGCATGTGCTCATATTATAGGACTTTCATTAAAGACTTCACTGAAATTAGCTGAGCCCATATTATAATTGATGTGGTATATCAAGAACTATCGATGTGGTATATCATAATTGGACTTAAAAGCTGGCACAGAGCAAGGCATCGAAGCGTGCACAGAAATAAGAAAAGGACTGAAATGCGAGTAGTCATAGTTATGAGTAGCTGTAGATATAAGTGTGTATGCGAACGACGATATATTTTGTATATATAATAAAAGTAGCATGTAGAGTAAAAGAGTGTGTCTTGTGAAATAATTACCCACTAAAGGATACACGGTAGCTGGTAATAATGGATGTGTGATTTTTTAAAAAAAATTTGCCTAATGCAATCTCAATAAGGACTTGGGGGATTCCCCGAAGACGGCTCAAGGCAAAGCTTTGATAAACATTTTCCTTTCAGAAGATCATGGACCAGCTTATAACTGAGTTAATAGCGCAGAATAGAGCTTGAATGGAGAGACTTACTTCAGTTATTATTCCACAAATGGACAATTCGAAACTTTCGGTTCAGTTTGAAAAACATAATGAACACGAAGAACAGTTTGATTCGTTTCTAGAGAGATTTGAAAGTTATTTAGATATACAAAATGTTTCACAGGATAAGCGTGGGAAAGTATTGATTTCTAGTTTGTCCGGAAAAATGTATAGTCTCTTAAAAAACTTGCTGGCTGCTGATAATCCTTCTGATAAAGATTATGAAGTGTTAAAAACAACATTAAGAAATCGTTTAAATATTAAGCCACTTATAATTCCTAGCAGACATGTATTTTTAAATCGAAAGCAGTACGAGGAGGAAACAATTAGTGTGTATATGGCAGAGTTAAGGTCACTTGCCATACCATGTGCTTATGATCAGAATATGTTAAATACGATGTTGGGGGATGTATTTGTTAGTGGGCTAAGAGATAGGCCTATTCTGAATAGAATTTCTGAGCAGGATAATATCAGTTTAGATGACACTTTAAAAACAGCTTTGGGAATGGAAAAAGTGTTAAAAGGTGTGAATAAATTGGGAAACCAGTTGAAATTAAAGAATTTAGTACCAAGAATAAAGGTAAATCTAAGTCAGTTGCTCCAAAACAAAAGTTTGAAAAACAAAACTTCACAGCTATGAGTGCTAAAGGGAAATTGTGTTCGCGATGTACGGGGACTGACCATGATAGAAATTCTTGTAAATTTAAGACAAGTACCTGCAGATTTTTGTAAGAAAATCGGGCACCTTGAAAGGGCATGCTACAGCGCTAAAAATGCTGAAAAAATGAAGGCGAAACAAAAACAGTTAGATGTAGGAAATGAAAACACAGTTCCTATAAACAGCATACATTCCAGTGAGGTGAAAAATAGGAAACCGCCCATAATGGTCCAAGTGAACATAGAAGGAAAACCGGTAGCTATGGAACTGGATACAGTATCGGTAATAAGTTAAAAAAATTTCCGGCAAATTTCGAAAAAGAAAATTAAAAATACAGGTCTGGTATTTAAAACATATAATGGAAAGAAATTGATACCTTTAGGATCTACTACAGTTAAGGTAGAATATAAAGGTCAAAATAAAAACTTAAACCTTTGCATTGTTAAAGAAAACCTAGATACAATATTTGGTCAAGAATGGCAATTAGAGATAAATTTAGATTGGTCCTCAATAAAGTCAATTTCTGTCTCTCAAAAGAGTGGTTTAAATAAAATATTGGAATAATATAAAGAGATTTTTGATGGAAAATTAGGAGAGATAAAAAATTATGACGTTCAACTAGAATTGAAGCCAAATGTTTCATCAACATTTTGTAGAGCTAGGCAAGTACCATTTGCGTTAAAGGGCCGGATAGATGAAGAAATTGATCGCTTAGAAAAAGAGAGTATAATCGAAAAGGTTGAAACTTCGGAATGGGCAACTCCGTTAGTACCAGAAATTAAGCCGGACGGCTCTATACGACTTTGTGCCGACTACTCAATAACAGTAAACCCAAATATTATTACGCATCAACACCCCTTGGCGACCATAGAGGAAATATTTTCATGTTTGAGCGGGGGGAAGCATTTTTCAAAAATTGATTTTAAACATGTTTATTTAAAAATGAAAGTATACCCTGAGACTCAAAAATTGCTAACAATAAGCACACAGAAAGGATTATATAAGTGTAAGAGATTAATTCAGAAGTCAAACAAGAATAGATATTTACTTTTTATTGTAGATCATTTCTCTAAGTGGGTAAAAATAGTCCTCCTAAGAGCAGCCTCCTCTAAAACAGTTCAAGATTCCCTCTTAAATGAATATATTTAGAAATATGGAGCACCCTTAAAAGTAATATCAGATAATGGGAAACAGTTTTATTAGGCAAATATTTGAGAAACCATGCACAGGCCTTAGCATAGAACATTTTAAAATGGTGCTTTTTCAGCTGCACTCACACACAGTGGAGCAGGTCAATAAGAACAGAATTAAAATTACATGTTGCTGTGTGAAAAACTATCATAAGCCCTGGGATAGCTGGGTCAACCAGTTAACGTTTGCCTTAACATCAGCTATGCATGACATGACGGGAAAGACTCTAGCAAAATTATTCTTAGTCCGAAAACTAATTATGCCACATGGTTAAATTATTATTCTTTGTGTAGAAGACAGAGCTCCATACTTTAAAATAGAAGATATACAGAAAATAACAGATGAAGTAGTAAGACATTCAGATATGGCAAGAGAAAAGTAAAAATTGTATTATGATGAGAAAAAGCAAGATATGAATTACAAGGGAGACAACAAGTGTTAAAAGCAAAACATTCATTATCATGTGCTCATGAAGACAGGGTAGCTAAATGCTGTCCATGATTTCAAGAACCTTATGCAATTGGGAAAATTCGAAAAACGGTGATTTACTTAAAAGACAGTAACAAACAAGAAAAATCACAACCAGCGAGGTACAGTGGCAGAGCACAAATGACTTTGAAAAGGCATGTTTCCAACAGGAAACCAACACTACAGATGAACAGCCAAAAAGAATAAAGAATTGAACCAGAATCTAGAAAGAATAAGATGCTAAGAAATCAGACAAAACAGGGTTCATAAACATTTCTGCACGTGGAAATTAAGGACTTTTAAGTACCATTAATGAAAAAAAATTAAGGACCTATGAGCAAATGGGAACTGAATAAATTCAATTAAAATATTATCTATGCCTGAACTTCACTCTTGTAATACCATCCTAAAAATAAAATAGACTCGTAAGTAGGATGAAATATTATTAAACATGAATTAATTAACAAAATTATTAATATGTAAGTTTGAGAATAAAATCAACTTCATAAAATGTATCAAGTAGCATTAAATATTTTACGCTTATGATAGTTGGACATATTTGAAAAGAAGATAAGTGACATTTTATTTATGTTTTACTAACAGTTAGCTTCTTTCTTTTTTTTTTTTTTTTTTTTAATTGTTTGTCACATATTTGTCTCAGTCTACAGGTTTAGTATGTAACAAGTTAGTATGTCTAGAGGTTTAGTAAATTTTATGTTCAAGTGGCATAGAGTAAAATGAGAAGTAAGATCATAATCAGCATGATTCATAACAAAAGACTGGATGTTGTCACCCCTGCTATTTGCCTAGATAGAGACCTGTTGATTAGAACAAATATAAAAAGCCTGATGTAGGCACGGTTGGCAAGTTTGGAAGTTAGTTGGGCTCTGTTGGACACAATTAGAGTCGTAGCTTCGTGTAGAGTTCCAAAGATTGTAACCCAGTTAATATACTTTAAAGTTCCAATAAGTCACTAAAGCACCACAGGTGATAAGTTTTTTTGTATTAAGTCTCACTAGATGTCAACCATAAGTTTTACATGAATTCTTACATTTTTGTGTTTTAATCTTGTGACCAAGGCAAGGATTAATGAAAGGCAATAATTCACTTTAATATGCAGAGATAATTTTTAAGGGTAAGCAGTTAGTTATAAATAATTGAATTAGGTAGTTAGATATCCTTAGTCATTATGGATTTACATGGCCACTATAAAATTTTACTTATTTTTTAACAATATTTGTTTAAAAAAGGCCCTATTAAAATCACAATCTAATAAAATTTCACAGTTTAAACTACACGTAATTTATGAGATTGATTCTTAAATGATATTAGGATAATTATACATTAAAGCTACAAAACATTTTATGTTTTGCACAACACTCAACAAAATATTTATGTGTCTTTTTAATTTGAAGCCTTCCCGGACATTCTGGCTAATTTACATTCATTTCCTTCCTATTAAGCATCTTCTCTAATAATCAGAAATTTGTCTCAATACACAAACTAGTGTTCTCACTAGTTTCTGCTTGCTTTATCTCTTAAATTGCCAACTTCTTTACAATGAGAGTTTACTTGATCTGCTAAATAGTAATGGTAAATAAAAGCTAAAGTTTTTAAAAAAAGGGGGGGGGACAAACGTGAAGCAAATTATCGCTATGTCTGAAAGCAACTACAATGCCAGACAAAGGTTTAAATAAGCATCTTTATTTAAAAAGAACTCAGAACATAAAGGCATGTTCTGATGCTAACAAAATCAATTACAGCACGTGGTGATGTAATTTAACAAGAACAGTCAAATTCAAACTAAAAATGTGGACTAATGGTCAAAGACTGTACAATTTAATTTTGATTTAAGCTGGCTCAGCAACTCTATCATATGGGGAAATAACTGTACATATCTTTGAACAATAATTTTCTTTGTGTATTCAGTTTCTTTTTTCAACATGTTTCCTTTTCCTTTTAGAATTTTTGGATTTAATTAAGGATTTCTGTTATTCTAAGAAAACTAACCACATTTAGAATGTATAGAAAAAGCTCCTAATTTTATTTCTTTAGCAATATCAAAATTCAGAAGAAATATGAAATACAGTACAAAGTCTTTAATCCGGACATCTATAATCCGGAATGAAACCGGACCTCAAAGCTACAAACTTTCTGCGCATGCATAAACGCATGATGCATTTACGCATGTTCATAATACCTTTACACATGTGCATATGCATTTACGCATGCGCATAATACGTTTACGCATGTGCGTTTAATGTATAATGGATGGTATAAGCTAGGCTAAAATTATCTAATTATCTATTTCAGTTAATGTTGCAGATTGTGTTGTTCCTTAATCTTCTAATTGGATCTGGCTTATTATTTTTTGCAGACTGTTAGAGCAATTTTATAAAAAGTAAGCTTGAACTTTTGATTATGTCAAAAAGAGTTTCCGATTCTGGAGCTGCCAAAGGATCTACAAAGCGAAAGCATGTTTCGATGCCCATCAACCAAAAAGTAGAATTGCTGCAAAAAATGGATGAAGGCATATCCTTTTTTTCTCTAACCATTCCGAAATCTGTTTATCAATTTCACGCTGCTCTGCGGGGGGGGGGGACATTGTGGCACGCAATGAATTGGAAGTTGATCTGTCCGCACTATCCTCATCTTCAGGGCAGATGCAGTCTCGGATGTAGGGGGGCAAGCCAGGGTCTGTGTCCCGGGTGACAAATTCAAGTGTAGCGCTGGATCGTATTTGGAATGCTGTGAAATTTTGATACAAACCTCTTTTAAGAATATTTATAATTAATTACTCGGAAACCTTTTAATGGAACAAACAGTTAAAAGTAAGCTAAGTACAGCCGAATACGACTCTAAAGATAAGATCAGAGAGAGGACAATAGAGGGACTCCAGGCGTCACTGACAACGTCAGATGACCCTGTCCTTCTGCCAACCCTACATGTAATTTTATTGCAAAGGTACTCCGTAAACTCCTTGTTCTTTTGTCCCTGTAAATGACGTCTGAGTCTCTCTGTTATCTTCTCTCTCTAGGCGGGGACATTCAAACGAGAAACAGAACGATAGCATATAGGGTCTTGTTTTCATATCGACACCTCTTGCGATTTCATGTTGTATATTATTTAGGGTAAAAGAACTCATGAGAGCATCTAGAAAGAACTCTCAGGGGCAGAATATAGAAAAAGAGCAAAAGATAGGACCGAACAGATAAAACAAATTGCAGCTAAAATGAAAAAAAGGCTTCACAGAAAAGACGAACTGTCAGACCCTGCCGCAACTTCCGATGGTGCTGAGATTCTAAAGGATATTGATATTTCTTGAAATTTGAATGACCACAATGAAGAATCTTCATGTATCATCCTCAGACTGCATTTCAGCAACTGAGAGAGCAACCTTCTTCATAAACCTCAAACGAACATCTAGAGGACATAAAATTAGGAGATAAAGTATTTTCTCATTTAGGTGCGTGTGGGAAGCAGAAAGAAGACTTTAAAACTTTTGATTTGTCGGACCCAGGTAGTTGGTCAATTACAGAAAAAAAATTAACGATCAGCAACGATCTTTCTTAAGCAGTCAAGCTGTATTATTAGCCGAAAATCATCCAGAAAATGTAGACCTTAGGTCCACTGAACGTGGTGGAAGACATCTGATATCTTCATTGTGGCACAGAACATTAACAAATAATGAAAAGATTAACAGATCTTGGCTTATATATTCTAAATTTAAAAATGCAATTTTTGTACACCATGCGAGATTTACCAGAAACACGCCACTGCCGTTACATCAGCATTGTGTACTACAGGATTAATTAACTGAAAAAAAGCTTCAGAAAGGTTAATTGAGCACGAAGCATCGGAAATCCACAGAGAGTGCATGATTCGACATTCGAAGTGGAAAATTCGACTATAACAAATGAAACAGTATCAAGGCATCGATCATGACATTAAGCGACTAATTCACACAGAGAAAGAAAAACGGAGAGAGATCCTACAGGTAGTTATGGATGCTGTATTGTATCTTTCAACAAACTGTCTTTCTTTTCGTGGGTGTGATCAAACCCCTAGCAGTCTGTTCAGAAAGTGTCCTCGGCCTAGTCAAGGCAATTTTTTGAATTTAATGACTCTGCTAGCCAAACGTAACTCACTTCTTAAGTACCAGTTAGAACACCTAAAAAAGAGACAAGTATCACATTTAATAAAGATAATTCAAAATGAAATTACTGATATAATGGGGAAAACAGTTTGCAATAGCATTTTAAATGATATTAAAGAAGCCAAATATTATACAATAATGTTCGATTGCATTCCAGATGTGTCGCATACAGAACAAATGAGCCAGGTGATTCGATACGTAAAATATATGTGGTGATGTGTGTGAAATAAAGGAGAGCTTCATTGATTTCATATAAGTTGATGGAAAAACAGAAGAATGCATTTCTCAACGGATTGTGGGAAAACTGACTCTTGATGGTTTGGATATTGGATAATATGGTGGTAAGTCTGACAATAACGGATTTAATATGGCCGGTATTTATAACGGAGTACAAGCCAGGCTTACAGAAATGAATCAGCTGGCCGAATATGTGCAATGTTTAGCTTACTCTTCGAGTCTTGTCGGCGTGCATTCTGCCTCATCTTGCCCCGAAGCCTAAATATTTAGCTTTTTTGGCGGATCCAATATTCGATGGGATACTACAAAAAGATGTACAAAAACCAACTTAAAAGGAAGCACCCAGACGAGATGGTCGGCAAAATATGTGGCTGTGAGAACTCTTCTAACGAATTTACCAGAAGTAGTAAAATCCTTGAAAGAAATTAATTATCTTTCTCTTAGTCCAGAATCAAAGTACTAAGCAGGACATCAGCTATATGTTGTAAAAAATTTTGAATTTATTATCAACCTGATAATTTGGGTTAATAGTCTTCGAGAAATCAATCGAATAAATATTGAAATTCAAAAGGAAGATACTGTTCTTGCGCGTTCTGTCGCATCCATGGAATATCTGACCAAAACTTTAAAAAAAAATGAGAGAAATTCCTATGGCATATTGGATAGAAGAATCTAAAGCAGCAGCCGAAAAAATTGAGATTGAACCTATTTTGACAAATAAACGAATTCTAAAGCGCAAAAAGCAATTTGATGAGTTGTACTAGGACGAATCACGAACACTTCATCCTGTTCAGCTATTTTCTAATGCAATGAAAATTGTATTTGATCGAATCTTATCAGAAATTAAAACGAGGGTAAACAGCACTACTACACTAAATTCAAATTTCGCATTTCTCATTGGTCGTGAAATATTGAATTTGTCAACCGAAGAATTGCAAAAGAATGGAACAGATTTTGCACAAAAATATGAGCGAGATGTAAACGCATTTGA